CGGTTATAAACGGAATGCGTAGCTTTCAAATGCGGTTAATGTACCTTGTTACCACATATCCTTCTATTTGCCGAAAAGATACGATAAGCCGTGTTTTGGGTTAGTAATTACATACCGGCCTGTCATAAAGACATAATAGGAAGAAATCACAATGCACTCTGTATTCTCTTTTGGGAGATAAGGATTAATGTGCGATTTCGATGCGTGGTTGTCATGGAGCTTTCAAAAGTAATCAAAACCATTATTTCAGTTTTTGTAAGGGTCTTTCACGCTTCCGGCTAATTGCAGGGTATAGTAGTAGCAATAATTAGCTGCAAGAAATCAGGGGTCAGAGAGCTTGAAGTATTTGGTGGAAGCTCAGCAGCAAATGAGAGAATAGTGGATTGAAATAACCAATCCTGACCTAACAGCCATAAACTATTTTGTTCCTGATATGCAGTTGCAGAGAAAGCGTGCTTCACTAACTCTTCGATGATGTAATATAGCCTAAATCCTCTTTTAGCTCTTTCTCATAGTTTTACTATCTAAAAAAAACAATTACGAACATTGCACCTAACGGGTGAGCACCTTAACTATGGTAAAAACATGCAATCTTCAAGTGTAGCAGATAGTAAAATTTAAATGGAAAGGTGAACACTATAAACCAAGGAAAAATGTTTCTTTCATAATTTTGAAAGATTTGCATAATGTAATATTGTCACTGCTATTACCAACTAAAATGTTATAATCACCCGCTTCACTAATCCACTTATTAGCATACTCATCCCAAAATGAGGTGGCTAGTTTGAGATCAAGATCATTATATACTGTTTCAATTTGACCCTTTTTAATAAAAACTTTTTCAAAATTTATCAATTCTTTTCTTGGTCTATTAACTGTGGTGCTTTGTTGGGAAACATACACTTGAACAACTTCTTTGCCATCTCTGTCACCTATATTTTCTAATGTAACTGAAAGCTTAATTTTATTATCAGTTATTTTTTCTATATTTAAATTTGCAAAATCGAATTTAGTATAACTTAAACCAAATCCAAAAGGAAATATAACTTCCTGATCAACAGCCTCGTAGTATCTGTAACCTACGAAAATCCCCTCTCCATATGTAACCTGCCCCCTTTCAGACTTGAAATTTAGAAATGAAGGATTATTCTGCACCCTTTTCGGAAATGTTAAGGGTAGTTTACCACTAGGATTTACATCACCAAATAATATATCCGCAAGAGCATTCGCTCCCTCATTACCACCAAACCAATGTTGAACTAACGCTGGAATATTGTCGAGAAATAATAGATCTACAGGAGTACCTGATTGGTTAACAACAATTACATTTTTGTTAACTTTTGAAACCTCTTCGACAAGTTTATAAGTAAGGCCAGGTAATCTCATATCTGGTCTATCATAACCTTCGCTTTCCCATTCTCCAGACAAACCAATGACAACTATGAGCTTATCATTTTGCTTGGCAATTTCAACCGCTTTTTGAATCTCCTTTTCTGGATCAATAACTTTGCACCCTCCAAAAGCTATTGCCCCACCAGCATCGCTTAAAGAATCTGTAGACCCCAGCAATGTTGAAGTGGGACCACTTCCAAATTCAATCTTTATTTTATATTTTTGACCTTTTCTCAAAAATACTGTTCCCTTCTCTTCTAAAGTTCCTGTATTGTAAAATGACGTTCCCCTTCTTTGATTACTTTTATTATCTACGATTAATTTACCATCAATAAATAACTGAGCAGTTCCAACCACTGTGAGCCCAAATTCATAGTAGTCATCATCATCTGGAATAAAATTTCCTTCCATGTCCATAAAGAAAATATTACTTTGTGGAATTTGTTTATTTTCATAATCAGGTAACCTTATATATGAATTACTTAAATTAAAATGATCAATCAAAGTTCTATTTTCGACGCTTGGTGGGTCAAGATATACTTTGCAGCTATAACCTTGCAGGTTATCTTCTCTGATCATTTGGGGACCTAATTGAGGTAAAAGCTTATGAGAATATGCTCCAACTGTATAATCAACTTCATAGACAAATCTTTTATTGATACAATCATATGGAGATAGTGTATAATATGCATTTAGAGCTGCAGAACCACCACCATGCGCTGATGTGTTTTTTGCATTTGGACCAATAATAGCAATTTTTTCACTTGTTCTTAATGGCAAAACATCATTTTCATTTTTTAACAAAACTATCCCATTTGAGCTGTAGGCTCTTAATTTGTTTGCAGTACCTGTTGTATTGTTATTTTCATCTTCAGTTCCTCCTTCTGGAATGTAAGAATCCTTCAAATAATCGATTAGCTTCAATATATTCTTTACCCTATCATTTAAATCATCAACATGAAGCTCTTTAGACTTTATTTGTAAAGAAACCTGAAAAGGTATTCTTAGTTTTGGGGGTCCAGGCATTTCAATATCTAAGCCATTTTTGATTGATAATTTCGTATCATATGTTCCATACCAATCTGAAATAATAGTACCACCCCATCCATATTCATCACGTAGCAACTCTTTTAAAAGCTTCTTACTTTGAGAGACATGTGTTCCATTAACCTTGGAATAGGAGGTCATTAAAACTGCTGGATTAGCGTATTTTAAAGCTAACATAAATGGTTTTATATAAATTTCCCTTATAGCACGTTCACTAATATTGATATTAATAGCAATCCTCTCATCCTCAATATCATTACATACATAATGCTTAATACATGCTGCTATACCTTTACCTTGTATTCCATTAATAATAGCTGCAGCTAATAACCCCGACAAAACTGGATCCTCAGAATATGATTCATAACCTCTACCTCCAAGAGGAGATCTTTGAATGTTCACTGTAGGACCTAAAATTACATGTGCACTTTTATGTTTTGCTTCAATTGCCAATAACTCACCTACCTCATATAACATTCTTTTATCCCAAGTAGCCCCAAGTGAAGTACCACAAGGAAAACAAGCTGACTTAATCCCGGGAAAAAAAGAGGTACCACGTACCCCATTGGGACCATCTGTAAATCTGATAGAAGGAATATTTAATCTAGGAATTGCTGCAGTATGCCATCTATCTACGCCTGCCAACAATTGGGCTTTTTCCAATACAGTCATCTTTTCAATTATATTTTCAATATCTAGCGACTGGTACATTGTTCTTAAATTATTATTTAGTTCTGAGATTTTAAAATCAATCAATGGTGTAATGCTTTTTCCATCTGCAAAGGAAGTTTTTCAAACAACTTTATATAGATTTTTGTGATTGCGACATAATTTCTCGATCAGTTTTTATTTTTGAGGCTTTTGCGAAAAAATGTGTGGCTCTTTTAAAAAAGATGCAGCTGTGGAAAAGACCCATAGGCTTCTATCCAAGTAGGGGTCAATAAATTTTTATACAAAATTTGACTTCTGTGCTTAAATAAGTTTATTAATCTAGGTACAATTGCTTATCGGTTAGTCTTGTTTTTTTTTTAAAGTCAGAAGCAGATTTATTTCGACCTGCAGATCTTAAACTGACTATAAATCAAATATAATTGTGTGGATATGTATCCTCACCTTTTTGTAGTCAGGATTGCTAATAATAAGGCGGATTGAATACATTGGGGATTTTCCCAATTGCTTATTAATACTTAATGATTATATAGTCCTAATTACATATTATATAATAACTTGTCAATTGTACATCGTATTAGGAATTAATTATTTCAGGAAAACCATAAAATGGATACTGCACAGGAGAAAAAAAGGGAACTATCTATTAAGGAATTAAGTATTGATAATATTGAAGGTTATGACGAAATTTTGTACAGGGCAAGAGATAAGTTTGACTATACTCACGAAAGAAAGTTACTTAGAAGAATTGATTTAAGAATTATGCCCTTACTAATATTGCTTTATCTATTCAAAAACTTGGATGTTAATAACGCTAGTTATGTTAAGACTATGAACGTAGGCACTGGAACAAATGTGCTAGATGAACTAGACATGTCAGTAAATGATTGGGCATGGATTAGTACCATCTACACAATTCCTTTTGTTTTATTTGAGATACCTTCGTCTTTGATGTTGAAGAAATCAACACCTCGTGTTCACCAGTTTAGAATTGCTTTCTTATGGGGAGCTACACTAGCATGTCATGCTGCTGTTAAAAATATGGCAGGAATATTGTCTTTGAGGTTTCTCTTAGGGATGTTTGAGGCTGGAATGTTTCCAGGTGCATTAAGCCAACTTGCGTATTGGTATAGACCAGATGAAATCACTATTAGAATGGCATTTTTAGGAGTTCTTGGACAATTCTCTAGCATCTTAACAGCTTTTATAACTTATGGATTTCAATTTGCAGACGGAAAAGGAGGACTAAGTGGCTGGCAATGGGTATTTTTAATAGAGGGACTACTCACAATCTTGTGCTCATTTTTCTTACTCGCTTTCTTGCCGAACTTCCCAAGCGATGCAAACTTCTTAACAGCAGATGAACAAGAATTTATAATGGCAAGGCTACCTAAAAATTCTCCTAGAGCCAGTGATAAAAATTTTAATAAGGAAGATATTAAGAAAGCTCTTAAGAGACCATTGACATATAGCTTCACTTGTCTTAAAACGTTCCAAAATTTGGGTGGGTATGGCTTGTCTTTTTGGTTACCCTCAATTGTTCAAAGTTTTGGGTTCACTTCAGCCAACAAAGCACAGCTATTATCAATTCCTCCTGCTGTTTTAGCTATCTTTTCGGGAATTTTTTTTTCGTGGGTTTCGGATAAGGGTTATGTCTCCAAACCGTACATTACACTCTTTTCATTGTCCCTTGCTATTCCGTCGTTTATTTTTTTGACTGTGATTACCAATAGGGCAGTACTTTATACATTTATTTGTATTGCTACCATGGTAAGTTCAGCAGATGGCTCAGTTTTGACCTCTTGGATGCAGCAGTCCTTAATATACTCTACAGACGTCATGTTCTGTTTCGCATTTACAAATTCTTGGGCACAAATTGGAGGAATTATTGGTCCTCAGATTTTTAGAAGCGAATATGCGCCAAGATATACCCTTCCTTATGGAATTTCCTTGATGTTCCTAGGTATAGCCTTAATTTCATTAGCTGTAACTTGGAATTTGACCAATACGGTTGAAAAGCAAACAAGAAGGATTAAAAAATTAAGACTTCAAGAAATTTCAAAAGGCAATGATGGAAAGGTAATATATGAGGATGTTATAGTTGATTCCAAATAAATAAATTACTATATACTTAGAACATGCAGGAATATCATAAAAGTAGGTGAAATTAGATCATAAAGTAAAAATAAAAAAATTTGTTTCATTGTGCATTATTTATTGAAGCACATATTACTATATTACTACTTCATAAGTCAGAATTTCAGGTGGTATAGTTCCTTGGTTGATATTTGTCGGTTTTCCCAGTCGTAGCATTCTAATCCTCATTATAAATCAACTAAAACTCAATTTGTCTTGCGAAGAACTATGCAGTTTCCAATCGGATTGTTTTTAGACGTAAGTTTCTAAACTTCCCCAAAAAGTATAGAATAATAAGACGATTCTACGAAGCATTTTTTAGACGAAATCTTGTTTATATAACATTGCATATAGTTACCCTGTAGTAATATTATGTGTCTCATGATTATTAGTTTTGTCTCAGTAAACAAAAGAACAAAAGAACAATTTGCATAGCATTGACTTTATCCTAATGTGCAGTAACAAGAAAGTGTGCTTTACTAAAACTTGTACCTGATATTTTCTAGCATTTGTCTTTCTTTATTTCCCCTCCTTTACTTTTACTAGTAAATGGATTCACAAGAAAAAAAGGCGACCTTGGCAAGCCACTGGAACATCCTTCACATCAAAGATTTTAACCCCATGCACCTCTATGCTAGATTAGGTACGTAGATAGCTATGCGAGGTCATAATAAGCAGCACATCAATTTTTTTTATAAAATTCGGTGATTATATGCACACTTCTAGTTTGGAAGCTAATGTTTGATGGGATCTGAGCACGGTTGATAACTAATTGCAATACATCTAACATTATGGGATTATCTGTTATATAAACAATCTTCTCTCCTCATTTAATATTAACAACTGAGGTAAAAATATCGGACAGAATTTTAAGGGGAAAAAAGGCTTTGAAATTTTTTTGTTCTGGAAAATATCCTAAATTTATCACAAATAATCTGCCATAGGAGATAACTACACATTTACAAATTTCTAATTTTCCACCCAATTTCTACAAGGACTACTAGAGCACTCTCCTTTCTCTAGCCAGGTGTTATATCTCAGACAATATACCCCTTATCAAAACCGTGGTTCAAATTGAAACTTACCTTGAACTTTTTGATTACCGCGAATATTTTAGCCCAATATGTTCTGAGTGTAGTTTTTCAAACAACGCGCTAGAGTATTTACTAGGTGGGGACTCAATAAATCAGCGAAATATTGAGCGATAATTGGAACGAATTAAATTTAAATTTAGATTGAAGGGCCACCAACTTCATAAATTAATTTATATAAATATCATGATTTTGGGATACATCCCTAGAGTCAACTGATCAAATTTTAGTAGGAAAAGATGTTATCCCAAGACACAAGCAATAAAGTTAAATCAACCATTGAAGTTGAGGATGAAGATAAATCAAATAAAATGAACGTTGATGTCAATCCTGAAGATGATATTAATGATTTTATTGAAAAGTTTTTAGACATTTCTGATAACGCAAGAAATAACGACAAACAAGAAAAGGAGATGCCATTGCTTGAAGGATTGAAAACATACCCCAAAGCAGCTGCATGGTCAATAATTTTATCAACTGCCTTAGTTATGGAAGGTTATGATACGTCCC